TACATATGGAAATATGTCAATTACTTATGAGAATTTGGTATTTGAACCCTAATTATTGCCTGTATAATAGAGTAAATTTGTCACTTAGATATCAAAACATTATTGTGTTAATTGTACAAATAGTTCCATCATAATATATCAGGCACTAAATATACATATGTATAGGTGTATAAGTGTATAAGTACATATATTATTTAACCATAACTAAAGACTTGCATGAGATTCTAGCTAGAGTGGCAAATGAGTTTATATCTATGTATATGTATTTTATGTTTAAATACAAATAATTTAGTATAAACAATCCATTTTTAACTTACTTTCCAAAATGACCCACTATAATTAATTTGATATCGGTTTTGCATAACAAGAGATACATATATATATATATATATATAGACACACACTCATATACATGCATATAAGTATATACTTAACTTTTTCTTGTACTTTATTTTAGTTATATCATTTTAGTGCTGGTGCGTACATGTGTAAACAACATTAAAGATACAATAAAACTTTCACTTAATTTTTCAAGTATTTATACATGGACATATGTGATGTGTATATATATATAATATATATGATATGGTGTGTGTGTGTGTTCACAGGAGCTACTACCGGTGTACACATCAAGGGTGCAATGTGAAGAAGCAAGTACAAAGGCTAACAAAAGATGAAGGAGTTGTGGTGACAACATATGAAGGCATTCACTCTCATCCCATTGAGAAGCCTACTGATAATTTTGAACATATCTTGACTCAAATGCAAATCTATGCCCCTTTTTAAGACTATACTTAATTCTATGTAGACTATACACATATATATATATCTTATCTATATTTATAATTTCATGTGTGCATGAAATTATATACATATATATATATATGTACTAGGACTCATATATGTGTATATTATTTTGAATTTGCTTCTTTGTAAGATCCTGTTAAGGGAGAGAGAAGATATCTATGTTTGAATTGAACATTTAATCAAATGTTGTATTCTTTTCGTATTTCATTTTTCGATTGCTAATTAATTTTGCTTTGGATGAAATATAAAAATTTATATATTTTATTAATTAACAGTTATATATATATATATATACACTAATTATAACACAACTTTCTAGCAGTAAGAGGTAAAACAATTGATTTAAATTTGCAACCTTTTGAGTATTCATAAAGAGGTAACAACAAGAGGTAAAAGACAATTCTACAATCATCATTTTCCCGCTACATTTTTATGTTATTGTACTCGTAATTACTGTTTTTATTGATTCGTGCACTAAAGCAGTCTCATCGAAATTAAATTTTCATGATTTATTTGTTTCTCTATGTAAATTACGTGATTGTTAGACTTAAAATTTTTAATTTCTGTATATGATATTCTTACTATTACTTAGATATCAGACATGACAACCCAGTATTTACAACTTAATTAATAGTTTTCATATCGCTAAATTAATTTACTCCTCATAATTTAAGTTTGAATATTTGATATTTGTTTTAAACGCCTTATTTTCATTCATTTCATAACATAAAAATTAAATAATTAGATTATATTTGGATCCTTTTAAAAGTAACAAAAAAAGTGTAATTAATTAAATTAATTGTTATTAATTTAATTAATCAAAATATTTTTGAATTATTTTTTTGAAGAATTTAAATATGATAAATTATTAAATTTTTTTTCGTTAGAAAATAAAAGTAAACTAAACATTTAAAAAAAAAATAAAAAGTATAAAAAAATATTAGAAATTAAATTATAATATGTGTTGAATTTTAAAAATAAATTCACATGAACAATAAAATAAAAAAATAGCGTTGGTCATAATATCTACAAAAGTTTTTCTCCTTAGAAGCGACATCAATTTAATCTAATTTTTCTTCTCTAATATTAATATTTATAGAATAATTCATCATAGGGGACCAAATACAAAAATAACCTTATTGTCAAATTTAGAAATTAAATTAATTATATTTTACATTGCGATATTATTTATTATAATTATATATATATATATGCACATATATTTCTATTATTACAAAGTCAATATTGTGAGAGAAGTTAATTTCCAAGTGACATGTCGTTAATTAATTGAGTCTTAATTTGATGATTGATTAGTTTTAGAGTTTTGATTTCACCAAAGATTCTTTTAATCAATTTCTTTACTACATACCTGAGTAAAAATTAAAAATTGAATTTTTTATCTAAAGTAAAAATAAGTATATATATATATATATGTATACAAAAAGTGGGTTAGAAATCTATGTTGAATATTATGTATGTGTATGTAATTAGAGAATTATTGAAAGCAGGCAAATTGTCCCTTTCTTTGAAACAATGGGATTCTTTTCTGCTTGTCTTGTTTTTCTCCATCTTTGTTTTTTTCAAAAAAAGAATCTTAGTTTGAAAGGCATGACGACATCGGTGATGAGAAAATAAAATTAAAATAAAATAAAAACACAATAATAAAATAGCAAGTCTAAGGAACAAAAAAGTCATTTAATTTGACCTTTTTTTTTTAATTCTGCAGGTGAGTAATCTTATTTAATTTTTAGAAAAATAATATGAAACCAGCGGTTTCTAATTATACTTAACATTCTATACGTGTGTGTTTATATATATGTATGTATGTATATATATTATAGTCAATAATAAGAACTTGGTAGCCTTTCTCTCTCAAATCTTGTATATAGTCTTCTGCTAATGCCATTGCTTTGCTATTGAATTTCCAACACCACATGGCTTGTCAATTATACATACCATTTGCTTAATAACAAACTTACTATTGATAATGTGAACTCGTTATTAGCTCAATCATCTTCATTTATATGTTTAAATTTACGGTAAGATTTTTCCCTCAGTAAAAAATTATGAAAACAGTAAAAATTTGAATTGGAATTAATTATTTCTTTAGTAAAAATTTATAATAAAATTCAAAGTTAATCAAAATACAATAAATTATATTTTAATTATGTTAATTAACACAAATATGATAATTAGAGCTAGAAATTAATTACGAATTATATGAGTTCTAAACCAAAAACTAAAATAGATGTCTTCATATCTTTAAAGAGTATTTTCTGAATCATAACTAAAGAGGAAAATTATCACTGCAATTCCACTGAAAGGTAACCCTCAGCACAGCACAACGATCAAAAACACAAACTATTCCGAAAAGTTCTCCGACGAAAAATGTTTTAGCAGTTAAGGCTACCACCTCAGTGCTTACCAAGAAGCAAGTTTTTTTTCTTTTTTTTTTTTTTGTGAATAAAGATACATACATTTTATTAATCATGCGATATATATATATATATATATATACCGATTAAAAGACAGATCAGTAACCGAGATATACAGAAACACACAGTACGACTTGAATCCACAATCTCTTAAGAATAAGATACTACCCAGTTAAATAATTGTTGGTTCTACAAAAGAATCAAGACAAAAGCATAAAAGGGAAGGGTCCGTGTGAACTTTCCAAGAGCTATTGCTGGTGCAATCACATGACCACCAAAACTCAAGTCTATATATAATCAAATAGCCGAAAAAATCAGCTATCACACAGAAACTTGCAAACGATTGTATCACTTTCCAATATGAGACTGATGTTTAACCCCATGTGCAAGCTCCTATAGGTTCATTCTAACAGGATAGACTACAAGCTTTTCCTGCCCATTAAACAACAGAGTAATTCTATGCATGCATAAACTGGCTTCGTTGGGGGACATTTCATGTGTTTCAATTACTAAATTTTTTTACGTCTATAAATGTAACATCAGTTTGTACAAAGAAGACATTATACATTTAGCATTTCTCTAAACATAATATGTCCCAAACCCAAAGTTCTACTCTTTTTTCCCCTCAAAACTTCATTTGGCAAGATATAGGTGACATAACAAGGAAAATCAGTTGATTTTGCTTGGTATGCCAAAAGGATAGGTTTAAAAGTCAAAAAATTTCAACAAAACATTGCCTGCCATCTTCCTCGTGACTGAATTGATAAAGTTTCTGTGCTAGATATTTCACAAAATTCATCCATAAAAAATGGATCAGAAAACTCAGTAAGGAACTGCAAGAGTAACCTATTTACGAAAAGTCAAGTTTTATTACTCAAAAGGGGAAAAATACTGCAGATCTTATACATACTGTCAATCCCCAAACCTAATGATCCTTGCGGACATCCTTCTCAGGTACCTTCGATTCTAGTTCTTTGGGTTTCATCTTCTCTGCGGCCCTGCAGAGGACATCAACCTAAGTGAGCAAGTGATAATCAAATTTAAAGTATAACTTACAGATAGCTTTACTAATAAAAGCAAGCTATGTTTGAAAAATAACAAGAATACAATTTCTTTAAAAATTCATGCTTCACTTAACTTAGATGAGATGAAAATTTTATAACGAGATGATAAAAACATGATCTCTTGGAGAATTCCATGTACCATTGAAATAATATATTTTAAATTCTATCAAATTTTTGTAAAATTATCTAACTTTCACTTGGTTACCTATGAGCTCAATTTTCATTTTAGATTGGATTTTCGTTATTTCATGGTAGAGCTAGGTGTAAATTTCCAAACAAATTCCAAAATAATTCTTGATTTATTCCCAACATAGCCGCATAAACTGTCACGGCAGCATTGATAAACAGAGCCATTAGAAACACAATGCAAAGCAGTGAAATATATTAAGGTGATAAAAATTAGATTTACTTTACCCAGCGACATTGGAAATATAATTGCCACCACCATTTAGAGGAAGCAAGGATTGCTCCTTGCACAAAGTTCAGTTAAATGATATAAAAGACACTCTTCAACAATTCGATCCACCAGAACATAATATCTTGAAAGCAAAAATCTATTAGATGCAATAGAGCAATAATACACATAATCATATGCAATTCCATAGGAACCGATCTATGCAGCACCAAAAACAAATCTCTGATGTATAGCCTAAAATATCCAGCTCCCACAATCCTTATTCATTCAAAAAGCTACCTTTGGAGAAAAATAAAACTTCATAATCAAGTGGAATGCATAATCACCAGAAAACATATACAGATATATAAAGCCAACGGACATAAATAACGAGAGAGACAGGAGCTAACTTGGAAGCAGAAGCAGATTCTTCCTCAAGCCACTGACGGATATGCTTGACGTTGCGCCTGAAAATGGCGGCAGATTGCTTAACATCACTCCTGAGCAGAAGTACCACCGCACCAACTCCCGCAACAGTCAGTATGAAATTTGTTAACGCCATTTTCACTTTTTCGATTTCGTCCCAAAATTTCTAGAGATGGACAAATTAAAACGAATACCGAAATTTCAATTTCAGGAAAGAGGTAAGAAAATAAAAGTTGCCATTTTTTTTTTTTCAAATTACATGATATTCAATCTCGTTACCCTAGTTCAGCTCACACTCTCACATCAAATGCCTAGTTTCAACACAAATTCTTAAAATATAGAAGCCCACCAGAAATATAGCAGAAACAATATTAAAAAATATATGATTCTTAATCATCAGTCGATTGAAACCAAGTCAATGTTACATACCGAGCTTTCTCCTCTCCTCCGGATTCCTATACTCTTGCTTAGAAAATTAACCCTCCCTCAAAAATTGCTCCAATTTCCTCTCAAACATCAGTCATCGCTGGCTCTCGATTATCTCTCTGCAAGTTTTCTGCTCTTCGCGCACTCGATCTCCTAGCAGCCTCTCTCTGTGCGAGATTTTCAGCTTCTCTCTTCTCCAGATGCTTCTCTGTGTGAATCCCTTTCTTCTTTTGGTTTTTGGGCTGGACGGAGGCAGAGAAATTAAGTTGGGCTTTATTAATCTGTTCCTTTGATTATCCATTTTATTTTTATTGATATTTTTTTTTATTTTAATTTTAGAATCGATAACTTTTGTCATTATAATTTTATAAATACAATACTGAATTAAATCATTAATTGTATTAAATAAATTATCATAGACGAGTTACTGTCAGTTCATTATACATATATAAAATACTAAGCTCATCGCTCTCGACAATACTGAAATCAATAATATTTAAGTCAAAATTAATAATTTTAATTATAAGATCACAGCATTTTCATTAAATTTTTATAATCTTAATTATAGAAGTTAATCACTATTTATCTATTGGCCAAATAGCCTCTTCTATTAATATTAAAGCATACAATAACATGATTTTGAATGTACTTCAAAGTCCTGCGGCAACAGTTAATTATTATTTATTTATTTAATATATAGTCATATAAATTTCACTAATGTATTCATTTTGAAAAAATAACATAATATTTTATAATATTAATTTCATTTAAATATTTATCTTATTTGTGATATATTTTTATATATACTCTATAAAATTAAGTTTCAATAAAATTAATAGAAAAATATTTACTGCTTGGACAGCCAAGCTAGTGTTACAATTATATAATATAATGTATTAAATATTATAATGTTAAAATCAATGCGGATTGTTTTGGTGGTTATGCTGTCATTATAAAGAGAGCTAAAAGAGATCCTTTATAGAAATTAAACCACCATCCATTTTATGACATTCCTCAATTACCAAAAAAAGAAAATTCACTTTAAGCCTTTTCCAAACGTACATAACACCTCTACCTATATACATATATATATATATATATATATGTATATATATTTTATATACATATAGATGGCTACAAAATCGATATCTGTTTGAGGATAAATTTCAACAAATTCAAACCCATCTATTTTTATAAAAAGTTTAACTTAAAACTTATCCTAACTTAGAATGAATGCAGCTAACTGATGAAGAAGCATACGTGTGTGTATATATGTATATGTATATGTATATGTATATGTATATGTATATGTGTATGTTTATGTACATGATGTTGGTGAAATAGGAATGGATTGTCATGAAGGAAATTAGGGCTGAGTGAAAATGATATTGGCACGGCTCAATCAGACTAAAAGAACTCAACATGAATATCTCCAGCCATTAATGAGAGCTTTAATTTGATTGAACCATGCCAACATCCAACAACTTTCATCATGATTATCATCCCTCCACAAGTATATGATCATGATCATCCATAGATCTCCACCACTGCATATATATATATACACACACACACACACACACAACATCAATATAGATCAATATCAGGAGGGAGATGTTTCAGAAGATAACTACATATATATATATATATATATGTTGTGCATGAGCTATATACATAACATATCCATGATCTATAAAATAAAACTAAAAAATCACATGCCGATCATCATCGTTCTCCTAGACATACACGAACTCTATATATTCAATCATATAGTACATAAAATATAAGAAAAATGATTAAAAAACATTAGTATAAATCAATCGATCATTAAACTATAAATATGAAAGAGTAATATTGTTGGAATTCCAACATATATGATAGTATACACACACACATATATATATATATATATATATATATATATGTTGTGGATATATATTTATCCTCTTAAATCTTTGAAGCTTTATATAGGAAGAGAAAGTGAGAGTTGTATATAAAAAATATATAATAATAAGGTAATCTATGAAAAAAGAAGAAATTTATCGTGTATCATGGTGAGTAAAAGTTCAATTTTTTTCTCTTTATTACACCTAACATATATATTTTTTTAATAAAGGTTGTGAAATTATTAGTTTTAAATGGTCCCTCCCAACCCAATTTCCAAATTTAGATTGCCTTTTTCTATACACACACACATATCTATATATAGGTTAAATTGCCCAGCAAGAGATTGCTGTCACCACAACATCATCTATTTAATTATATATAAAAATATTAGCACATAAAATACAAATTAATTGCAGTTTGTGATTTGGGTAATTGTCTATGATCTAATCTAAATTTAGTTAGAAAAAAATTGAAATTAATGGAATAACAATATTTGATCACGTATTTCTAATTTTAAATGATATCTCACAATTGAGACAATTAGTTAAATTATGTGAAATTATTTTATAGAAGGTTCATTGATATATATATTTTTTTCTATAAAATGAATCAATTTTAATTTTTGAATCATCCACGTTACTTCTGTTTTCTAATAATAAAAATTTTATTGAAAAAATTTGTGTTAATAATTTGATTTTACGTACCAAACAATTATTAAATGAATTACTAAAGTAATAAAATTTGTTTATAGGTATATATATTATAAGTATATAAGAGAGACTCATAGTGGCTACTAATTCATTAAAGAATGAAAATTTTAATTGGCTTTTATTTTATTTAACCGAGTATAAGTTGAAATAAGTTATAAGTTTAATGATATTAGATTTGGTAAATATTAATATAATGATTTATTTCAAAGATTACACTATTTTTATGTTATACAATTTATTTTTACTATTTAAATTCTTGTAATATAATTAAATTAAAAATTGAGAATAAAAAACTATTATTTATCTAAATGAATACAATAATTTAATTGGAATTTTTACTGAGCCCATGAAACAAATCAACCGGCAATAGAAGTGTAATGGGTTTGATTCATCAAGAATTTTGGGCTCTTTTGAAGAAGAAACAAAAATGGATGAAACTAGCTAGTAGCATGGGCTTTTCACACGTACACACACACACACACACACACACACACATACACATGTTCATAAAATTTTATAATTTATTATGTTCATAAATTAACTATTTTCTCTCAATTATTGTTAATATTATATATATATATATATATATGTATGAACCTATTAAAGTTTGAGGCCACCAAATAAGTTTTCGTTTGGCTTTTTAATATATATATATATATATATATGTAACGTAATCTCTTGTTTTGCACGACTCATTCCACTAAAGAATTTTAAAGAATGTGTCGTATGAGACACAGATTCTTCATTCATTGAACAACATGATTACCGAAATTTTTTATTTGCGTTAATTATTTTTTAGCTTCGTTAATAGTTAATTAGTTCTTCATAAAGCACTCAATGTTCATGTTGTCATTTTAGTTATAAAAATTGTATTTAGTTTAAATTTATTTTGCTCTTGTACAATTCTCATGTTTTATTATATATATATATACATATGGGATATCATTTAAATATTTAATATATAATTAAATTAACTTTATATATATATATTCAAATCAAACCTTAAATTTGTGCTATAGGTGGAGCCTTTTTTGTTCAATTACAATAATATATACTTTTATAAAAACGATTGTTGCGTAACGTCTGGAAAATTTGAAAAAATTTATTATTTTATTATTAAATATTTTTATTAAGTTTTTTTTTTTTTTTTAAAAAAAAGAGCGTTACGTCAGCAACCACGTCAGCAGTCCTGGCCAACCAGGACCTGCCACGTGGCAAGACCACGTCGACCGGGGACGGGCCACGTTGGCGATCCGCGTACGCGCGATCGGACGATTCAGATCAAGCATGCGCACGGACGGCCCAGATTCAATAAAAAACGGACGGCCCAGATTAAATCAAAATGGACGGCTGAGATCAAAAGGTAAAAGGGTATAAATAGAACCCCCCCACCTGACCACAAAAACCCTAGCCGCCTGCCCTCGCCGGAGAAGACGAACCAGACGCCGGAGAAGCTGGCCGCCGCCACCCGCCGCCGCACCGGGGATATTTTCGATCGCCGATCGAGGTAAATTTCATACCCCCGACTCGTTTTTCCAC